GATCAGGGCAGAGGGTGGGGTGGAAACCGGGTGGAGCGGAGCTATGGGGGAAAAAAGAGGAACAACTGTTATAATCTGAACAATAAAGATTTAATAATAAAAAAAAAAACAAAAATAAAGGAAGATTAAGTAGGTAGAATACTGTTAACAAAAAAATACTGTCATACATGAAGGACTTTCTCTCTCCATTTACTACTAATCTTACAGGCAAAAAGAGTTTCTTTTGGTTTTATGATGAAATTTTAAAAATTAAAACAAAAATCCAAAGCATTTAAAAATATTCAAACTACGAAAGAAATGACTAACATTACTTTGAATGAGCTTGTTAGAACTTTCAATTACAGTGTCATTTTGGAAGTTTAAAAAAGTCATTAAAATTAAATAAAATAAATGATTTAATAAATACTACTCATATGTTCTGCAGTGTATTACTAGGAAAAATGTTAGGTAATAAAAACTTAAGTGTTTATGCTGAAGCAAATTATGTTAAAAGGGATAATAATTGCCCTGGCCAGGTGGCTCAGGTGCTTGGAGTGCTGCATACCTAGGTTGCAGGATCAATCCCCAGTTGAGGTGCACATGAGAGGCAACTGATAGATATTTCTCTCTCACATTGATTTTTCTCTAAAAAAAAAAAAAAAACTGTCTAAATACAATCAATAGAAACATATCCTCAGTAAAAAAAAGAAGAAGAAAACAACTAGTGGTGGACCTAATCTGGCCTATGGGCCAAAGTCTGCCAATCCCTGTCATAATTGGAGTTTAGTATCATTATTAAATGTATTATAAATGAGCTCATTCTCTCTCATGAATATCACATGATAAGAAAAGCAATGCAACAATATTAATTCCAAGTCATATTCATTATAACAAAAATACAAGAAAGTAGACCTTAACCCAATATATGTGAGAAATCATGGTCTGAAAATACCCCTATGGTACATCAATCCTTGATTTCTGGATTGTTTTTATATTACTAAAGCTGACAGAAAATATCAAATAGTCCACTCTTAAATCAAGCATTATCTCATAAATCTTGTTACTTCTTTTATTTTGTATACTGTTTACTATTGTATTATAGTTTTAAAAATGAATTTTTTAAATAAGATTAGCATACAAATTTTCAAATCATAAAAGCACAAAGAGAAATTCTCATTGAAAAACCTTACTGGACCTGGCTGGTTTGGCTCAGTGGATAAAGCATCGGCCTGCAGACTGAAGAGTCCCCAGTTTGATTCCAATCATGGGCACATGCCCAAGTTGCAGCTCGCCCCCAGTGTGGGCATGTAGGAGGCAGCCAATCAATGATTCTCTCTCATTGATTTTTCTTTCTCTCCCTCTCCCTTCCTCTCTGAAATCAATAAAAAATATATTTAAAAAAAAACTTTAACAAAGTTTTATATTTAATATATTTCAAGTATATATTAAAAAAAATCTTTCTGAAGGATTAGGCAGGCAATATATTAAGAGTGAACTAACATTTATAGTATACTTACAATGAACCAGATACTATTATTAAGTGCTTTCACAAATCTAGGACTTGAGATCAAGTAAGTCTGGCTCAGACTGAACCACCTTTCAAATTAAAATTATCCACTTGGTACTTAATATTGAAATTAGAATGTCTCTCGAATGCCTATGTCAAAGGCAAGCTTTCGATATATTGAAGGTGCTAGTTTTATATCCTTTTTTGGGTCCTTCTTTTGTTTGGATATCACTTGTGTTAAGTACTGAGTGGCTAATGTATTTACTAGACACT